CCCAAGTGATGCCAGTGCTGCTGGCCCATGGACCACGTTTTGAGTCGCATAGCTGTAGAATATATATAATAAAGTAACTGGTATGAGAAGGGTTGTGTTAATACCCCCTGGTGTGCCATGGCATTGCAATTATTAAAGCTTTTGCTCTTGTTAATTGAGTTGAAGTACAGGTGAATGACATGGTATAAGAACATTGTGTCTTCTGTGCTTGAACATTATGGGGATGATGATAATTATAAGGATTATGTTGTTGGGTGGCTGCTTTTGACATCATCAGAAGCCTTGCAAAAAAAAAATTATAGGCTGTAGACAATTGTTAACCTGTGTCATGCTGTAAGAGTCAAAGGACCTTATGGCATCTTAGTAAAACTTTCATCTCCTGTGAGAATGACTAGGCTAAAATTCAAGCCTTTCATCTAAGGGTGGTAAGTCTGCAAAGAAAACTAAACGTGCAGCCTCAGCAGTTCTACATCTAATTCATGAATCTGCTAGGGAAAGAGTGGGGATCCTGAAAATTAGGATGAGGACATTTGTGTGCATGAGTTTGAGAATGATTAACCCCAATTTATCTTGAATTCTCTGTCCATGAGAAGCAAATCCTTACTTCTTGGAGAGGCCACTTGCACTTGCAGGAGCTTCCACTTAGCTAGAAAGTACTCAGTTACTTCACTTTAATTAGGTGCCTCAGAACATGACGCTGGTTTTCATCAGGCTCTGCTCCACCCCATATTTTATTGTGTCCAGATAATAAGCGGGGTCACATTTTAGCACAGCCTGAGCAGGGAAGTACAAGGCTGCTTCAAGAAACGGCATTTACATACAAAATAGTAGTACCAGCATACGCATATACACACATATCAGTAGAAACATAGCAATACATTGGGGTATTGAGGGGGCTGACTAGGGGAAGGTGTAATATATGAGTGGGTAAGAGATAGTCCATCATCATGGGGATCTCACACATGACTCAGGATTCAGTGTTCTGGAAGTATGTCTGTTTCTGATCTTAATAATTTACTGAGAAGAGTCCTTGAAGCTTGAATGTAGCCATGGCCTATAGAAGTGGAGGGCTTCCTGGTGGATTAGTGGTAAAAAACCCACCTGCCAGTGCAGGAGACATGGGTTGAGTTCCTAGGTCAGGAAGATCACCTGGAGAAGGAAATGACAACCCACTCCAGTATTCTTGCCTGGGAAATCCCATGGACAGAGGAGCCTGGAGGGCTACAGTTCCTGACCCAGGGATTGAACCCAGGTCTTCTGCATTGGGGTGAATTCTGTACCATCTAAGCCACCAGGGCAGCCCTGATACTGAGAGGAGACCTGAAATACCAAGCTGGTCCTCTGGGTAGAGTGGGAGTTTATGGAGATCAGATACTCCGTGGACTTTTAGCCCAAGTTTTTCTCACCGTGAGTCCAGTGGCTTAATAGATCCACCCTCTGGTTATACTTCAAGTATATACATAGCAGCTGATAGAATTCTTTCATAGAAGGATCAGTTGAAAGCTTCTGAAATTAACCCCAACTCTTCCTGGCCAGGAGAAGCATAGTAGAAGTGATATAACATCTGATATAACAAGTGATGTAAGAGGTATTGAAAAAATTAGCACCACTGTCACACAATTAAAAGATGCAAAATGGTCTTCATCAGGTTCCCATTAATTTACCTACTAGACCTCCAGAAAACCCAGATGGATCACAGCTGATGAATAAGGACTGCAGTAAACTTAGTGGCAGTGGTAGGGGGCCATTGGTAGCTTCACCCTCAGCTCCCATGGCATCAATAAGACTCTGACGCCTTGTGTGCAACTATTAATTTAGGGGAATTCTTTCCTTATCTCTGGCCACAAAAAGGATGAAAAGATTGTTCTCATTCAAATGACAGGGATAGCATCATGCCTCCCCTGTCTCNGTCATGTATGGATGTGAGAGTTGGACTATGAAGAAAGCTGAGTGCTGAAGAATTGATGCTTTTGAACTGTGGTGTTGGAGAAGACTCTTGAGAGTCCCTTGGACTGCAAGGAGATCCAACCAGTCCAGTCTAAAGGAGATCAGTCTTGGGTGTTCATTGGAAGGACTGATGTTGAAGCTGAAACTCCAATACTTTGGCCACCTCATGCGAAGAGTTGACTCACTAGAAAAGACCCTGATGCTGGGAGGGATGGAGGGCAGGAAGAGGAGGGGATGATGAGGATGAGATGGCTGGATGGCATCACTGAGTTAATGGACATGAGTTTGGGTAGATTCCAGGAGTTGGTGATGGACAGGGAGGCCTGGCATGCTGTGATTCATGGGTTCTCAAAGAGTCGGACATGACTGAGTGACTGAACTGAACTGAACTGAACAAAGTAAACCAACAAAGTCTGAGATAATTAACCCTAATTACCATTACAAGCGTGTATGGAGACTACAAAATTGAGGGTCTAGAAAAATTATATCTGATACCCAAGGAAATCACTGGATTATCTATTGGTATTTCTATGGCCAGGGATAAGTGTGAATGGGCAATTCCATCTATCCTGGCAAGACAATTTAGGGTGTAGACTCCTTGGAAATGATTATCAGCATAATTCCACTGAGTTAGTACAATGCTTCCCAGGTAGTTCAGGGGTAAAGAATCCAGCTGCCAACACAGGAGACTCAGAAGATGTGGGTTCAGTCCCTGGGTCAGGATGATCCCCTGGAGAAGAAAGTAGCAACTCACTCCAGGATTCTTGCCTCAGAAATCTCATGGGTAGAGGAGTCTGGAGGGCTACAGTCCTTTGGGTGGCAGGGTCGGACATGACTTGGGTGACTGAACAAGCAAGAATAATGCTGGCCAAGGGAGAGGGAAGTCTGGAGTGAGGAAGAGAAGGGAGATGATCAGTATTAACTCTAGCTCCAAGAGCAACTGCTGCAGCATCAATTATTATAGTTTAGGTTGATAATCCTATTGAAGTCTACCTCGGAGATTATAACTGGGTGTTAGTTTCAAGAATGAGACGTAACAACTTTTCTCTCAGGGAGGAAGTGAGGACATCCTGTTCGTGTATGAGATTTGGTTATAGTGAAGAATGAGAACAGATCTGAGAGGCGCATGGGGTGAATTATACTAGACCAATTTTGTGTTGGTCCCTATTTCCTCAACATTTTCTATCCCCTGGGTCTCAGGTGTCACCTGGCTTCCCAGCCTGAGCAGCCACAGTTATAGCTCCCACAGATTCTGCAGTTCACTTTATATTCTAATACCACTGATGGTCTCAGCTTCCCCTGAAGGGTGAGGACTGTTCTGAGATTGTTCCAAGCAGCCTCTTTGGAAAAATCCCACATGACTGACAACCAGCTATGCTTTCTTCAGAAACTGGCCAATCTGGGTAATGCACAATTTAGTGTGGGCTTCCTCTTTTTCCCTACCTTATTTCCTAGTTCTTCCCTGGCATGGCACTAGATAATAGAATATTAGCACATAACCTGTCTCAGACTTTGTCTTCCTGGGAACCAAGCAAGGGTAGCCATATGTAATAGGAAGGCTTTTAAGTTGTATCTTAATTGTTTTCCTGTTTTTCTTCCAGTTTTTATTTCTCTTCCATTTCCTTGAGCAAATATCATATCTTAAATCAAGATTCAAGAAACTTATTTTGTGAAAGAGCTAGATGTTAAATAGTTTTTGGCTTTGTAGTCCATATGGTCTCTGCTGCAACTGCCCAACTCTGCTCCTGTGGAGAGAAAGCAATCACAGTAAAACATAAGTGAAGGAGCATGGCTGTATTCCAATAAAGCTTTATTTACAGAAGCAAGCTATAGGCTGGGTTTTGAACACAGGCTTTAGTTTGCTCACACCTGTATTAAATTAAAAGTACCATGATGTGATAGAAAGAGCTTGAGTTTTGTAGGAAAATAGATCTGGATTTGATTCCCAGTCCTACTGTTAATACTTAACGGGCTTCCCTGGAGGCTCAGTGGTAAAGAATCTGCTTGCCAGTGCAGGAGATGCAGGTTCGATCCCAGAGTCAGGAAGATCCCCTGGAGAAGAAAATGGCAACCCACTCCAATATTCTTACCTGGAAAATCCCATGGACAGAGGAACCTGGCGAATTACAGTGTGTCAAGTCACAGAAGAGTCGGACACAACTTAGTGACTAAAACAACAAGAGCCTACTACTTACTACTCTGTAATTGTGCAAGTTTATTTCTCTGAGCCTCAACTTTCTCATTTGTTCATGTGGGCTTTGTAACATTTCACATTTTTGTAGTAATTATATGAGACAATGAGATCATTTTTGCAAACTATTTGACACAGTGTAAATGCTCCATAAATCAAAGCAATTGTCTTATTTTTTCTGAACAGCACTTTGCATGTAACCCAGAACATTTTAAGTATTCAATAAATGCTGGCTAAAGAAGTAAAAGATACAAAATCAACAAACTGCATTCTTCTCATGACAAGTTTCTTGTGTAGTCTTTTCTAACATCTTTTCTGTCCTTCATATAAATGCACAGATTATCTGTGTGTAAGCTGTGTATGATATTTCTAATAGGAAATCATTAAATTGGAATTTTGGCCATTAATCAGTCTCATGACTTTTAGTTATGTGAGTTTTCCACAAGTCTAATCACTAGAGAAGATCACTGATACTGCCACTTGAAGCTCTACAGATCAAATACATTAGAATATAGGGGATTTCCCTGATGGTTCAGTGGCTAAGACTTTGCCTTCCAGTGCAAGGGGTGCAGGTTTAGTCCCTAGTCAGGGAACTAAGATCCCTATCTCACAGCCAGAAAACAATATTATAAAAAGTTCAATAAAGGCTTTTAAAGTGATCCCCCCAAAAAAAGAATATAAAGGCTGCCTGAAGATATTTCGTCTGCTCTAAGTTTGAGAGAGCCTGGGCTATTTTCGAGGCATGCAGTATAATAAAGAAAATGGAGCTAAAATTGTGTGGTATATTTTAAATGTTTACAAGAAGTAAAATAGAGCTTTTAATCCTCAAAATAGAATGTATTATATTCCCTTTTGATTGTAGACTGTCAGAGATCTGAACAGAAGGCCCATCATGACTGTGGGACTGGGGCAAATGGACGTTGGGGTTCAACTTCTCTGAGCCTGACCCTGCTCAACCCGTAAGACTTCTAACTTGTTGGCACTTTAGAGCATTTTTCAACAACTGTTTTATGCTTCTGAGAAGTAGTTCTACACTTCCATAAAGCACACCTGGAAATATTGGTGCATTTTGGATAATAGCTTTCATATTTCAAAATTAGATCTGATAACTTACTCAGTGTGGAATGAGAAAAACAGATGCTCAGCCAGAAGAAATTCTATAAAATGCAGTTTAGATTGATACATCTAAAGCCGTGCATAGGTAATAAGTAGTATCATCCAACTTGGGGGAATATGTTTTGGAACTAAATGCTATTTTTTATTAAGTTTAGAGAAATGATATGTATGTATATATAGGATGCATTAAAAGTATGTATCAGTGGGAGCTTTTTATTATGGGTTGGTATAAATTATCCTTGGAGTCCTCTAGAACTAAAATGCTTTGCAATAATCTTTATGAGAGTGCCCATGGCCACAAAATTGTGTAATAAAGATCATAGTGGGACCATACGCACAGCATTTTGTTGCAGACATGGGGTTCAGAATGTGTCTTCCATGTGGTTTTATACAGTTGACATCCTTCTGGCTGTCAGAATTCTATTTCTTTCGACTGCTATTTATAGTACAGCATATTGTGGCAGGCCTCTGCTATGAGCATTCACTTCATATTCCATAAGAATGATTACAAATGAACAAGAATGTTTATTAATCACTGCCACCTTAGTGGTGAGGAAGCAAAAAAGAACTTAATAATTATTTGTGGAATGTTTTTGAATGGATATGCTATCATATTTTATTCTCACTCTGACCTGGTGATATATGTATTATAAACTCAATTGTGTAGATGAGAATCTACAGTCAAGTAGCTAGTAAATAGTCAAGATTTATTTTGGTATCAACTATGCTGAGATGTCTGGAGGACCAACCATATTCATTGTACTATGATCATTTTATAGAAGGGACCTGAGCATCTGCAGATTTTGGTATCTGTAGGGACTCCCAGAAGGGTGACTAAGTGGGCAGCTTTGATCCAGCTAAACTTAAGTGGTAATGATATTGTTATTCTGTAGCATCTGTTTCATGAAGTAAAATATCAGAGACTGGGGTAGACATTGGTTTATGTCTTTCCTAATTTCTATATCCATGATATTTTCCTGGAAACCCAGGTCAAACCTTCCATTAGTAACTGGGAGGTGTTTAGGTTGTCCTTTAATTATTTTTCAGTCTTTTCCCCTTTTAGCTATCCAAGGGCAAAAATCATGTCTTATAATGAGAAGAAGAATGAGATGATCAAAGGTACTCAACCTTTGCAGTTAAGCAGATTGTCCCACTCTATGGGCAGTGAAACTGAGGAATAATAAGATGACTTTTCTGCGGTCACACTGCTGTGAAGTGGGAGAGACTGGATGAGAATACAAGTTAATTTAATTCAAAAGCTGTATCCCCACTTCTTTTCCTCCTCCTCTCTCGCCAAACAACGATGTGAAGAATGGACCCATGATGGGGATGTTATTTGGTCCTATTGTGCAGTTGGATCCTTTCTGCACTGGTCAAGACATACATCTGGATTTACTAATGTCTCACATTTACTAATGTCTCATATTGTTACACTTCAAACCTGGGAAGACTAAATCAGACAGTCGACGCAGGCACAAGAGAGTTACCACCATATTTTTGCTCTGTAGAGATGGTTGAAGGTTCAATCACTTATGTTAATTGTGCTGTAATGCATGGATTTCTGTATGTGGGACCTTTGCATCCTGGTTGTAGCTTTGACTGCAGCAGCAGATGGTGAGATCAGGGTTGTGTGGCTTGAAAAGTAGTACAAGATCTGACCTGAGTTACCTTCTGGTCAGGCTGAGTTACGTCTGACCCTACTGCCATGTTTGAGATGTCTTCTCTCTGGCACATGGCAGACTGTGGAACCTGGTAAGTTAAGTTCAATCACTCAGTCATGTCCGACTCTTTGTAACCCCATGGACTGCAAGCACACTAGGCTTCCCTGTCCGTCACAAACTCCTGGAGCTTGGTCAAACTCTTGTCTGTTGTGTCAGTGATGCCATCCAACCATCTAATCCTCTGTCATCCTCTTCTCCTCCTGCCTTCAATCATTCCCAGCATCAGGGTCTTTTTCTTCACATCAGGTGGTCAAAGTGTTGGAGCTTCAGCTCCAATTAATATTTAGAATTGATATCCTTTAGGATTGACTGGTTGGATCTCCATGCAGTCCAAGAGACTCTCAAGAGTCTTCTCCAACACCACAGTTCAAAAACATCAATTCTTCAGTGTTCAGCTTTCTTTATATCCAACTCTCACATCCATAAAAGACTACTGGAAAAACCATAGCTTTGACTAAATGGACCTTTGTCGGCAAAGTAATGTCTCTGCTTTTTAATATGCTGTCTAGGCTGGTCATAGCTTTTCTTCCAAGGAGCAAGCATCTTTTAATTTCATGACTTCAGTCACCAACTGCAGTGATTTTGGAGCCCAAGAAAATAAAGTCTGTAACTGTTCTCATCGTTTCCCCATCTACTTGCCATGAAGTGATGGGACCAGATGCCCTGATCTTAGTTTTTTTGAATGTTGAGTTTCAAGCCAGCTTTTTCACTCTCCTCTTTCACTTTCATCAAGAGACTCCTTTAGTTCCTCTTTGCTTTCTGCCATAAAGATCGAGTATCTCAGATCTGCATATCTGAGGTTATTGATGTTTCTCCTGGCAATCTTGATTCCAGCTTGTGCTTCATCCAGCCTGGCATTTCGCATGATGTACTCTGCATATAAGTTAAATAAGAAGGGTGACAGTATATAGCCTTGATGTACCCCTTTCCCAATTTGGAACCAGTCTGTTGTTCCATGTTCGATTCTAACTGTTGCTTCCTGACCTGCATACAGATTTCTCAGGAGACAGGTCAGGTGGTCTGGTATTCCCATCTCTCTAAGAATTTTTCACAGTTTGTTGTGATCCACACAGTCAAAGGCTTTGGCATAGTCAGTAAAGAAGAAGTAGATGTTTTTCTGGACTCTTGCTTTTTCTGTGATCCAACGGATGTTAGCACATCTGTTGAATTCTCTCTGGCACATGCAGATGTAATTCTGTGGGACCTGGTAAAGTGATGCTTTAAGCTGAGAGTGAAGAACCACATTATCTAAAGGGACTTTTGGCAGACTCATCACCTCTGTGGCAGGTGAGCCAGGTGCGGGGATTCAGCCATACCCATAGTCAGTAATTCTACTGTTGATATCTCACCTGACCTTCCATGGAGATAATTGTGCCATCAATTTCATCCAGAATAGACTGAAAGCTAATGATTAAATCTGGTTACAGAGCACTGACCACAGAGACTGGTTCTTGCTGGGTGGTCCGGAGCAGGGTATTATTCCAGTTCAAAAGGATAAATTGGAAATGTGCCTGCATACACATTCATGAAATAGTCTAATGTGTTCTGGAAGAAATCACTCAGAGAGAACTGCTTTCTGAGGAACTGGTACACAATCCAAACATCAACACAGAATATTTAAATTTATTAAGTCACTTATTCTTTCATTCAACAAATGAAATGAATATGGGCTGCCAACTGTGAGCCAGTCACTAGTCTAAACCACTGAGGCTCAAAGATGAATGAGATGCAATCCCTGCCTTCAGGGAGCTCATAGCCCAGTGGGGAGACAGATATATTGATGGACAAGTATAAAGCAAGGTGAGAGATTGTTGAAAATAAAAAACTTCAGGGGATATTACTGGAGCAGTAAGAAAGGACCTCTCAATTAGCCTGGTGTGTGGATAGGGGTTTAAGGGAGACTTCCTGGAAAAGGTAGCTCTTGTGTTGAGTTTTAAAATAGATGCTTCAGTATATTTGACAAAATACAGGGTGAATAATAGTCCATGAAGAGGAGCTTGGAGCAGTAAAGTACCATGCAGCCATGTGCCTTTTTGGAGAATGTCATGAAGTATATTGTTGATGGAACACATTTAGTATGATTATAATATATCAGAAGGTCATCTTCTTTGTCCAAAATCAGAGCCGTATTGCTCTGTCAAATTGTTCTAATTTGGTATGATCTATAGTTATCAATAACTTGAGTGATAAATCAGAGTTCAAATGATGAAATTTGAGTGTCCAGTCATCATTACAACAAAATAACAATATGTGCTCTCTTTCTACATAAAGATGCCTAAGGCTTAGTGGGATACATTTGGTTTCTCCAAGTACCAGACTACCAAACTCAACAGAAATTTAACTGGGAACACCATCCTTGCATCTCTTAGGTTTTAACGGTGGCACTAATCTTCACCATCCCTCCTGAGATGATACTGTTTTTGATTTACTTTCTTGGTTCTTTGAGACCAGAGCCATTTCAAAGGTTTCTATTTGGTCTTCCCCACTAGAATAGGTCTTAGTCCATAAGTTGAGGACCCAATGTGGGTGTTACTTTAACTGTTTAACATGTCAATACCAATTATAAGGTGGGGAACTGAGGAAATGACCACTGAGAGCATCTTTGTAGGCCAGACTTTAACCACAACTGGATTTATCACCTGTCGTCTGTAAGCCCTGCTCTGACGTGGGAACTGTAATAATGATTTAGGCTTCTGTGCGTGCTGTGCTCAGTTACTCAGTCAGCTCTGACTCTGTGCAACCCCAGTGGACTGCAGCCCACCAGGCTCCTCTGTCCATGGGGATTTTCCAGACAGGAATACTGGAGTGGGTTGCCTTGCCCTCCTCCAGGGCCTTTGAACCTCTGGGATCTGTCAGTTCAGACACTGAATAAACTAACCTTGATCTGTCTGGGGAGCCCCCCTTCCTCAGTGTGTCTAGTCAGCTGAGTATATGACTGTACATCCCGTTGGGGAAGAACAAGGGAAATCACTACAGTATGTCCTTATAGCAGTGTTGCTGTGTTCTTTTTAGAGAGCATTTTAAGTCAGATGACCCTGGATCTGAAAACTGAGCAAGGAATTGGTACCCTTTCTTTTTTTTTCTGATTGTAGAAGTAAAGGAGA